CCTTTGACTCCCTTACCCAAGAATCTACCTTCATATTGAATATATTCAATAACACCATCTTCACAGCCTTCTGAGGCAAGAAATTTGTACAACACAATTTTAATCTGTGCTAAAAAGGCAACACTTAATTTTTCCAAGTGCGCCTTAGTTCTGGACTTACCCCAGGAGAAACCATTCTTTGTGCCTCAAGAGTAGTGATATATTTACAAGCTATGACACATCATTAGCATTACACATCAGATCAGTAGGAAAAGCTGAGATCAGAGGTTACAAAATGGGACTGGGATGAAAGAGCAAGTTAGATACTCAGGGGTTGTTGAAGCTGGGACAGTGCATGCAATACCAAGCGGAATAGAAGGGAGGGAGGGAGGGAAAGGAGTGGTGGTAGGGAAAACAGGAAGCAGAAAAAGAAAGAGCAAAGTGTTGGCAAATAGGGTACACAGACTTGACAAAATCTCAACAAAAGTGCTATTAAAAGGAGCCAGGTGCAGCACTAACAAATTCTGACTCTGCTATTCTGTGTCATTTCTTCTCCCAAGTATTTAATGGCAGATGGCAATTACAGGAACAAGTGTCTTTTTTTAAAAAGTTAAAGAATGCAATATAGCATTTTGGGACACTACTAAATAGCAAATAGCTGTATTCTGCCATAGCGTCTCAGGCATTAATAAATTGAATTGATCGAATGCATTTAGCTCATTTTCTTTTCATGGAAAAGCAGATCAAAAATTTACCTCCTTTTGAGCAATGCCCATTCTGTCTCTCCAGTGTAACAAAAGCAAGTCAACCTTTTCTTTGGCAAATTTCTCTACCTCTTTAGCAGCTCGTCCAGCCCTTCGTTGCCACTCTGGGACTTTACCAAATTTACCATATTGATCCTGTTGAAAGTACACAACTGAGAAATACACACCACGTACATGAAACAGAAAATACTTGCAAGAAACTGTTAGAAGTCTGCATTTTTCAAGAATTTACGTTCAAGCAGATAAAAAGAGAGACAACAGATAACAGGGATAAGGCCACAGGAGCAAAAGGACACAATTCTTATATAGGGTTAAAAAACAGTAAGTGTGCCTCAAGAAATAAAAGATCTTGAACAGCGTAGCAGGACAGTTATCAAGCCTACATTCAGTTTCCGATTTGGCCCTTAAACCAACTGTGCAGAGAGAGGGGGAAATAACCTGGCAGGTGACTCCTGCTGGCCAGCTACAGGCAATCTGGAAGTTGGTCACTTGCCTCCTTAGTGGGAGTGGTCAAGGCAAATATAAAAAAAAAACTAACATTTGTTGTAAGTTTCCCTAGCATAATTTTGAATCCAATTGTGGGATGATAGTCGGCATTTCTGGGGAGGGCAGGGATGACTGTTGAACAACTGTTACTACAATACAATTAAGTCACTTACTAGGTCACTTTAGCAAGGAGTGAACAAAGTGTCAGTTAACATTCCTGTTGGGCTGGATTAACAAGGATAACAGGTTGGTTGCCTTCCTTAAAAAAGGATATTAGCAAACCATTTGTGTTTAAATCATGATACAACAAATTCATGCTCACCTTTTTCAATGACAATTTGATTTTTTTTTAAATCTAAAATTGCCATGTCTGATTTAAATTCATGTTTTCTCTTCATTATTGGCGCAGGTGTCTGAATTACCAGTCCTGGAACAATCACTCTGCTATTTTCTGGTTGAATAAGATAATTCAGTTCCCTTCTCATCTCCCCTCTCCGTTCCAATGAGTAATTTTCTCCAGAAGAACAAAGTTTATTCTAGCAACATGTTGAAAACAAGCAGCTATTTTCTGTACTTACTGTTGCAATTTTTACATTATCCCTGATATGCATCCTGTCAATTTCTTTTTCTGGTACTTGCTCTGTGCTGTCAAGGTATGCCAGTAAGCCTGTTGGCTGAAAACAAGGCAAAATTCTCAGTGCAAAACATCAAATGTTTCCCAGTTATTAAAAATGCAATTATTGATGAAAAATGAGGCATACTATGAAACCTTTAGGCTTGCACTCATTAGAACTGAATTACAAGAATGCCAGAAGATATTCTGTACATGATAAATTCTTAACTAGCTGATCAGCATCAGAGTGATGCTGACCAGCTGGTCAGCATCTCTTTTTACAGCACCACAAATTCTTGGCAAACAAGCAACTTTGTTAAAATCCTCAACATTAATTGTTTACAATTGGGAATATGAAACACACATGATTAGGATAAATATCTGCATTCTTTTTTGAAAGGTTGCAACATCAAAACATGAAATCCCTGTCACCTAATTCTGTTCAAAAAAGCCAGAAAATCCTAACAATGCAATATTCAAACTTTTTTTTTTTTAAAATCTTCCTTTCCTTTGGGAAAAGTTCAAAATATCGAAAAGCACTTTAACCTTTGATTCCCGACCTGATCGAGGGTATAATATTTTAGATCAGGTGCAGACATAAATTAGTTGTTTGAGATTCAAAATCAATATTTCCAATTAATTTCCAGAACAAAGAACACTAGCTCAGTAAGATGGCCAAATGAGGAGTTTAGCCATACAGTCCATGCAAGACACGGAATTGGTTGGCAGCGTTGAGTTAACCAAGTTCAATCAGAACAATCATCGGAATGCTCCAGTGGAAGTCAGCAATCCCATATTGGGGGAGAGGTAATGGGAATGACTCCTTCTCCTGATCACCACCCAGCAACTGGATGTCCAGGACAAGATCCTGTTTAACAATGATACATTTGAAAATACTGAGATAAAATATCCCTTCAAGTGCCACATGAATAATGAACAAGTGTAGTAGTACAAGAGGATACCTTTTTTTTTGTGAAGTTATCAAAAGCAAGGAATCATCTCCTTCAGGTGATGACAGAACTAGAGAATTTAATCCTAACTGAAGCCTTTAAGCTGCAAAGGATCACACAAATGTACTGACCTTTCAGCAAAACTGGACCAGCTAAATTTGAACCAGTACATTTGTGTGATCCTTGGTAAGCAGGTTCAGAACAGGTTAAGGTATAACTACTCAACTGCTGGTTCACAGTACAAACCCATTCTGCATTAATGGAGAGATACAAACAATCACCGCCTGTCTCGCTCAGGAGACGAAGTAGGGTAATAAGCACCTTAAAAATCAGCAAATGAGGCAGTTACTGCTTAGCTTCTGAAGTTTACGAACAAAGTCAATAGAAACATAGAAAACAGGAGCAGTTGGCCATTCAAGCATTCAATATGGCCGTATCCTGTTCCTGCTTTTGCCCCAAATCTTTTGATTTCTAACGCCACACAAATTCTTTGGGTAAAGAACATTTTTCCTACATTTACCCTGTCTAACCCTGTTAGAATTTTACAGGTTTCTAGAGATGCCCCCTTCATTCTTCTGCACTCCAGTGAAAGCAATCCTAACCGATCCAGTTTCCTTTCACACGTCAGTCCTGCCATCCTAGGAATCAGTCAATCAAATCCGATAAACCTTCATTGCACTCGCTCCATAACCAGAACCTACTTCAGTTAAAGGAGGGCCAAAACTGCACACAATATTCCAGGTGAGGTCTCACCAAGCCTCCTGCTCCAGTACATGAATCCTCTTGCTACATAGGCCAACATACCATTTGCCTTCTTCACCGCCTGCTGTACTTGCATGCTTACTGTTTGTGGCTGTTGTGCAAGAATACCCAGGTCTCACTGCACCTCCCCCTTTCCCAATCTAGCTCCTCAACTCCCTCTTTCTCTGATTACAACCCTCCATATAGCTCTCTTACAGTGAGGTATTTCAATATTTTGCCATTATTCTTCCAGCCAAAGCTTGACAAGTTATTGATGGAGTACACTATCACAGGGAACATTCCTCAGATTTTCCAATAAAGTGGGTAAAAGGTAAGAAAAACAAATGTAGAAAATTCTCTGCTATCCTTAATAGCACAAGTGTTCTTCAATTCAGGGAAGTCTCAATTAATCTTCAGTTTTCATTATCCTATGGAGGGCCATGGATCCTAATCATCATGGGAGGTAATGAACAGCCCAGTATGTGGCGATACTCTTTGCACCTAACCGCATTATCAAGGATCTACTGGTGTTGAGCCCAACAGAACACCTTAAAAAAAACTGCTGCTGCAGACTGATCTTAAACGAATTACAAAAGATTTTAAAATACAGCTGTGGAACTCTGCTGCGTTGATCAAGCTTCATAAATAGAGCTCCAAATATGGCTCAAAACAACTAAAGCATCTAACGCTGGACACCAAACCAAATTCATGAAGAAATCAAATTATGGACAATATCATTCTGAAAGACGCAGTTATTTGTGAACTCATTTGTTCTTAGTTCAGTTCACAAAAAGGTATATTGAATGTTTAGTACAAATTTAGAAGTTTAGAAAGCATAGATCACAAAATTACTTACCAAAATGCGTTTCAGTAAATTCAATGCTGTTGGATTTTCTGCTGTCCAAAGACCCACCAAATGTCTACTTAACTGCCTGAAACAGCATAGTTAATTTTTCATTTTTTTGTAATGAACAAACAGAGCTTAGCAAACGCTGGTAAAATATTATACATACCTATTAGTTAGCATCCGCTGATCTGTACTAACTGTAAACATTGATGTATGCAAGTGGCTGGGTAGGGCACCCTCACTTAAGGCAAGTTCCTGCATCTTTGTTGCAATTTCTTTGTCACCTTCCTTGTTGGGAAGAAAATACATTTACAAACAGATCAAACTTAATGTTCATTAAAGTGAGATTCAACCACTTTAAGAAACAGTAAATTTCCCTTTCCCCTATCATGTCCTGCTTCTTCAATATCACCGAACAAAATATTTCCTTGTGAACCATACTGCCGCAATCACTATATACAACACCAAACTTTATACCTTCCTACACAAAGCTAATTTGATTACAGAAGAATTCACTAGAGCTGGTTTGAATTTTCAGCTAACACATGTATAGCTCAATTAACTTACCCATATCTTAAAACTGATATTACATCAGCATCGTTTAAAAAAATTTAACATTCAATTGCTCATAAAGGAACAGCTGTCAGATTTTTCCCACTCGTTATTAATTGTCTTAAACATACTGTATAAGACAGACAGCATAGGACATGAAGCATCATAATTACTATTCTTGAACAAAATATAGAGTATAGACTCGAATAAAAGTTGATCTTGCGTAAAAGTAGACCACCTATTTTTAGCCAAAAAGTCTTGAATTTTCTATATCAGGTGTAAAAGTCGACCCTAGTTTTTCCCACAGATAACAGATCAACATTTGTAAGTCAAAGGTAATGTCCTGTACATAAATGTTACGATGAGGAAATGGTCAGTGAGACTGTTATGAGAGTCAAACGTCTGAACTTTTTAAGAAAGTCAGAAATAAAAGCTTAAAATTTTAATTTGAAAAACAAAAACAAAACAACAGTAGCTGAGAGAAAATGGAGGGAAATGGAAGAATTTGGCAGGAAAGTTTAAGACATTACTGTAATTTGTTGTTTTCTTTTCACTTGTTCAGAGAAAAACTGGGCTTCTGCTAACAATACAGTACTTTGGACTGCAGCACGAATTCCAGTCCCTCAAAATTAGTATCCATGTAATAATCATTCCCATAAATTTAACCTAAAAATTCAACTTTTACACGAGTATATATGGCACAGCAACTGAGATTTTCAGGGAAGGCCATCCAAGTGTTGGCGAATTGTTGATGCCAGGTTTTTGGACAACCTGGTCCATCAATCACAAGTGACAATATATAGCTATGAAGAAAACAATTTACCTTCTTTGATGACTAATAAAATAAATTAGAGTTTTTATTGATAGTAGGCATTGATATGGCCATAAGACATAGGAACAGAATTAAGCCATTCAGCCATGGCTACCCTGCCATTCAATGAGATCGCGGTTGATCTGATAATCCTCAGCTCCACTTTCCTGCCTAATTCCTCATTCCTTTATTTATTAAAAATAGGACTCTCGGCCTTGAACACACTTAATGACCCAGCCTCAACAGTCCTCTGCAGTCAAGAATTCCACAGATTCACCCTCAGAAAGAATTCCTCCTTGTCTGCATTTTAATAGATAACCCCTTACTGAAATAGGTGTACGTTAGGTTTAAGAATTTTTCCCATATTGAACAAAGTAACCCAATCATTTCACACTGGAATTTGAGAGCCCGAACAAATTGAAAATTAATAGCTATACTGCATGCATAGATTGAAAGCAAAATTATTAGTGCAAAATTTAACTTGTATACACAAATCTTTAATGTAGTAATACAGCCCGAGGTGCTTCACAGTAGCCACAGACAATATTTACATGAGTCACTTAGAAATATTACAGTAGCTAACTATAATCTTCAGATTGCATCTCCAGTGATCTTCAGAAAACATCTCAAAAAGTGTGAAGATGAAATGTATGGGTTTTGGGGGTGGGGGGGAGGAGAAGAGATGGGGCTAGACATCTGAAAATATAAAACTTTCAAAAAAGGTGCTGAAAACTCAACAAGTGCAATAACCTGGAGGAGACTGTCAGGTTAAAAAAGAGTAAAACAGTTCAGGAGGCCATAGTGTAATTTAAGCAGAATTATTAGAATTTTAAAGGAGACCTTTCCAAACCAGATAGGTATTTGCCACTTGATATCAAGACAAGTAGAATGACAGGGCATTTAATCATTTCCCAATCTATCAATCATGTAAAATAGGAACCTGCAGTATCTTCGTGTATCAGTCACTGAAAGCAAAAAAGCACACAAGTGCAACAAGCAGACATGAAGGCAAATTATATATTGGCCTTCACTAAAACAGGGTTTGAATACAGGAATAAGGAAATCTTAATGCAGCTCTGTTGAGCCTTGGGGAGACCACATCTGAAGCATTTTGTGCATTTTTGATCGTGTTGCCATAGAGCAAATGCAGCAAAAAGATCAAGCTCTCATTGTCCCACCTCTGCCTTGCAGCAAAATGGCTCACATTCTCTCCTCATTCTGATAATTTCATAAAGGTTCAACATACTGGCTCCTGGGATGGCAGCTTGGTCATACAAGGAGAGACTGGGTCAAATAAACTTGCATTCACTGGAGCTCACAAGAGAAAAATGGATCTCATTGGAATAGGTAAAATTCTGACAGGATGGGGCAGACTGGCATGTATGGCATTTTCATTGGCTAGGGGTCCACAATAAGGGGTCCTAGTCTCAGGATAAGGGGGTAGGCCATTTCAGACTGAAATGTGGAGCAATTTCTTCACCGAGGGTGATGAACCTGTTATCTACCACAGAAAGCTGTGGAGACCAAGTCACTGAATGGGTATTAAAAAGAAATACATAGATTTCTAGAGGTTGAAGGGGTGTGGGGAGAGAAAGTAGGAGTATGACACTGAGAAGAATCAGCCACAATCTTTTTGAATGGCAGAGTGGGCTTAATTGGCCTAAGTCAGCAGAGACAGTGTTGATGGATAGATAGGACTCAATTAGGATGAGTGACAGAACTTTGGACAAGCTCAAATTTACAAAGTGTAGAAGACTAGACAGAAGGCCACTGGAATAGACCGTCTAGAGTCAACAAGAGTAAAATGAGGATTTCACTAGCTAGTGGGTCAAGAACAGAGTAAGGCAATATTACAAGCGGTGGAAATAGGCAGGCAAGGCTGGCAACAAAGCAGATAGGGTTACAGACTCCAGTAGGGCAGAGGTTGCAAACATTCATGTTCATACTGAGACTGTATCCAGAAAGTCAGCAGCTATACTCTTAATCGTTGGAACTTTCTGCTCATTTAATAATCTGACAAGTCGTGAGCCAAATCAGAGGTACGAGCTAAGAAAAGTAGAGGTGTTAAGGTATAGCTTAATAAGTTGTTATTGTAATACTCACTTCTATAATAGCTTTCATAACTAAACCTGCACCTTTCACAATGGCCATGGAAGGGTGCTAAACGAAAAGAAAACAGATTATTCAATACCATCTTTAAACAGACAAGTCCTGCAATTCATGAGGAACTGTCACCATTTCGCGTGAAAATAATACATAGACACACCCACTTAGATCAACTGCATCTCTACCCACAGCTTTTTATTCAAGAACTAACGGCAAGTAGGAAATCATGTTCCAAATTTTCTAGATATCAGTAGAATTATCCATGTTAACCAGGTTCCACCATCTAGGGTGGGGGATTTCAAGACTCGGGGGCACATTAAGGTGAGAGGAGAGATTTAAAAAGGACATGAGGCAATTTTTTCACAGAGGGTGGTTTGATTGTGCAATGAACTTCCTGAGGAAGTGGTGGATGTGGGTACAATTACATTGTTTAAAAGACATTTGGGTCAGTACACGACAGGAAAGGTTTGGAGGGATACAGGCCAGGGTCAGACAGGCGGGACTAGTTTAGTTTGGGATTATGTTCAGCATGAACTGGTTGGACTGAAGGTCCGTTTCCATGCTGTATGACTATGACTGTATATATCAGCAATTTTCAACACCCGTAAAGCTCTCAGTACGTCAGTGTTTTGACCTCAGCAATATTTCTGTACCAATGGAAAGTGGTTCTCACTGAATTAGCATCTATGTGGAGGATAATGCCAAACAGTCAATGCCATATAGAGTTTTCTTCCATCCATACATGTAGAATTAAACTGCCCCAAGCATATTTTACAGTTTTGTCCATTTTAATATTTTATATTCTACCCATTCCCCTTCATTTGGTAGTATAGAACTTGAATATTGCCAAGAAGAGTCTTTTTAAAAGAAGATTTTTAGTCGTGCGCTTGTCAGGACAAATCACAAGGAATACCATAGTGAAGGAAAAACAACATTTGTACTGTATGAGAAGAGAATGCAGATGCTTGACCAGTGCACTGATTGCTAGAAGCATTGCCATGAAAAATGAACCAGTTAGATAATGACTGATATCATCTCATCATGATTTATTCTGGTATTTCTTGCAAATTTTCTTGATGAGCACGATAAAAGTCAACAAAACGTGCCTTCCTTTTTCAGTAATACATTAGTTACTTATTGACTGTTGAGACCAACACGGGTGGACCTCATGTCTTGAGCCAAAACTCAATGTTTCAAACCAGTGGACTATCCAAGTCCTTCTTCGGGCTGCAAAAGTTAAATTTTACAAGAAATCTTTACACAGGGAAAGACCTACCTGGAAAAGTTTGAACAGGGTTCTTCCAACATCTGCTACCATTTCTAACAACATATCAAACTGCTGCCCTTCAGTTGTCTCACTATATGGAGCACAGAGGGCAAACGTAAGAAAATCCAGTAGAGAACTAATCACCAATGCACCTGTCCCATGATCCTGCAGAGAAAAGAATTGAAGAGCGTGAAAGCAGTAATGGCCTGACATTAGCAAAAAGATTAGCAAAAAGAAAGCTGTTAGGTTACAGATAATTATCCCTTCGTCTGCCAAATTATTTCTCTTTAGGCTCCAACTCCACTTATTGCTCACTCCCCCGCAGCCCCCCACCCCACCCTCAAGATAAATACCACTTTTCCCCAGATGCTATCAATTATGAAGAAGAGTCACTAGATTCAAAACATTAGCTGTTTCTCTTTCCATGGCTGCCAGCCTGAGTTTCTCCAACAATTTCTGTTTTTGTTACAGATAATTAAAAACATGCCAAGTTTAGAATTAAAGGAGTCAGGAAAATCCCAAATTCAAATCTAGCTAAGGGCAGTGATTCAGGTAGGAAGAGAACGAGCTATAACTGGCCAATGTTCACAGGCTAATAACTGAACAAAATAAAAGGAAAAAAGCTCATTCTGAGCTCCACTTCAAAAGCACAGTTGCAGACTTTTAGGTGCCAAAACAGCCACTGACATTTAACATGAAGCCAGATAGAACGACTTGAGCATGTGACCCAAGGACAGATTAGTCAAATAGGAGGACGAGCAGATCACATGGCCTGCTGAGCCTGCTCTGCCATTTCAATATGAATATGGCTGATCTTGGGATTCAGCTCTACTTTCCTGCCCACTCTCCATATCCCTAGGTTTCCTGAGACATCAAAAATCTGCCTCAGCACAAAGTTTTTTTTTTTTAATTCATTCATGGGATGAGGGGGTCACTGGCTAGACATGCATTTATTGCCCATCCCTAATTGCCCAGAGGGCAGTTAAGAGTCAACCACATTGTTGTGGGTCTGGAGTCACATGTAGGCCAGAGGAGGTTAAGGATGCTTCCTTCCCTAAAGGACATTAGTGAGACAGATGGGTTTTTTCCAGACAATCAATGGATTTATCATTAGACTCTTAATTCTAGACTTTTATTGGATTCAAACTCCACCATCTGCCGTGGCGGGTTTCGAACCTGGATTTCTGCTAGACTGTCAATCCAATAATACCGCTAGACCATTGCCTCTCCAACCAACGATACCAACATAATAAATCAACAACTTTTCCACAATCCTTTAGGCGCAAAATTCCAAAGATTCACAACCTTTGAAGAGGTTTCTCCTCATGCTATTCCTAAATGATCAGCCACTTGAGATAATGTTCGTTTAACATGCAATGACAAACAATTTCTCAACATCTACTCTGTCAACCTCCTTTTTCCCCCTCCATGAGATCACTTCTCATTCTAAACACTAAAGAATGAGAATCCAATTTACTCATTCTCTCATTATAGGACTACTGCAAATCACAGGAATTAATTTAGTGAACATTTGCTGTAATGCCTCCAATGCAAGAACATCTTTTCTGAAATGCAGAGACCAAAACAGCACACAGTACTCCACGTGGTTTCACCAAAACCTTGTAAAATCATAAGACCTCTGCACTCCTGTCCTCTGAACTATTTATAAAACACCAACATGCCATGTGCCTTCCCAATTGCTTAATGTACTTGCTGCATATATCTTGCAAGAACCCACTAAAATCTCTAACACTTAAGTTTCACATTCTTTAAAAGAAAAATCTGCTTTTTCTGGTGCAAGATCAAAAGTGATTACCTTCACACATCCTGGCATTCACTTAATAGGTCTGTATCTATGTGCTGTCTTACCTTTGCAATTAATTTTACATATCCCTAATCGCTGGTGATATTAGTTACTTAGATGGAGACACAAATATAGATCACAAATAACTGAGGCCCCAACACTGAGCTTTCTGGCACTCCACCAGTCACTGCCTGCCAACTTGAAAATATATTTTTTTGTTTATACCCACTCACTGCTTCCTTCCATTAAAAAATACTCTAGCCACATTAACATATTAACCCCAAACATATTAAACCCAACTGCATTGGTCCCATCTTCCTCTTAAGCTTTTGTGTAACTTAAACAAAATTATCAATAACATGAGATGACGCCCAAGTATGGGCCAGTGCCTTAGGTGAAAGTAAAAACCACATTTTTCCATTCAGCTATTTGCATCACCATTACTTGAAAGCAGAATTAGAAGTAAAACGGATTTTCAAGAGTCTCAACATCCAGGGTCTCATTTTAAAACCAGTGAAGAAAAAATGTCAACCATCGATACAAAAAGCACACATACCAATGATAACAAGGTGTAGAGCTGGATGAACACAGCAGGCC